GGTGTGACAGAGGCCTCCTCTCGTCCGGACCCGAAGCCCCGCCAAACAGGCGGTGGAAAGCCGACTTAGGGGTCGACTTACGCCCCTTCTGCTTATTTTTCTTAGACATGTGAGTGTCTGCCTTTAGAGTGGGTAAAAGTGCCGGTTATGGTGATGCTGTGTCCGGAGCCTTAGGTGTTTGCTGCCTCACACGGCCATTGCCAAGCCACGCCCCCGCACGTTTTTTTTTGCCTCGGCGCAAAAGGAGCTGGCTACGGCTATGCTCCTGTGCTGCTGGCTGAATGTGTCAGACTCCACAGACGGAAAGGGGCGGGACCCCTCTCCCCATGTGCAATGTTGGCCACACAAGCATCGCTGAAGGACAGGACGCCGGGGCCTCTAGGACGCACTGGAATGCAAACTGGCCAACTCCCTGCGTTCAGGGGCGAGAGGGGGTGTGGGCAGGGGCGTATTTACCGCGAGGCAAACAAGGCGTTTGCCTGGAGCGGCACTTTGCAGGGGAGCGGCATGTTTCGCCCCCCTGCAAAGAGGAAAGCTGGGGACGAACAAGGCGCCGGGCGCACAAGATCAAGCAGCGTCGGCTGCCTTAAAAGGTGGCTGCTAACGGGGCCTGGCAGTGAGCTGGCGGGTGTATGAGGAGGCGTGGCCGGGGCCGAGGGAGAAGCGGCCCGGCCGTCGGAGGCTGCGGTGCCGCTCCAAGAAGATTCGGCGGCTGCAGAAAGACGCGGACCTGGGCCGGTGGAGGCTGCAGATGGGATGGCGGCTCCAAGAAGCATCGCGGCTGCAGATGGGATGGGACCGAGATAGACACAGCCCCGGTCGGCGGAGGCTGCGGGCGGCTCAAGTAAGATGCAGGCTGGAAGCAAGATGCAGAATGGAAGCAGGCTGGGGAGCTGCAGGTAAGAAGAGCAGCATGTGTGCAGGGAAAGGGACCCTCCACAGCCCATAATAGATCATGCACAGCCCACCTTAAAGTCTCTGTGCAAGGTCTATGGTGGGCTCTGGGGGGTCTCTGGTGGGGTTTGCAGGAACTCAGATGGGCACTGCAAGGTCTATGATGGTCTCAGCCTGACATCCTGCAGTGCCCACCAGAGATCATTTACAGCCACTTGAGACCCCGGCTTCCCTGCAACACTAAGGCCTCATTCACACTGCTTAAGGCTGTGACATACTGCACGCGAAGCAGCGTGGAGCGGTGGCGCGCTGCCTTCGCGAGCAGTGTCATGTAATTTTCTCCTCGGCACCTCAGCTTGCGAGAGCTCGCGTAGCTGAGCGTGCCGAGATGAAATATTTCATCTTCAGCCAATCGGCTCGCGCGTATAAACCAGCGCGTTGCGATGCGACGTCTGGCTGGTTGTTATGCAGGAGCCGATTGGCTGATGGTGCAGTCAATCATGTGCCTGCACTCAGCTCACACACTGCACGCAAAGCTCCGTGCTGGACAGCTTTGCTTCGCTCTGCACGGCTTTGCGTGCAGTGTGTCACAGCCTTCAGAGTTGACCCATAAACATCCGTGCTGGTGCGGTGGTCCATGCTCGGACGCAGATAGGATCCATCCTGTCTGTGTACGAGTACTGACATCCACACGGACGTGCAGTTCAGGCAGTTCAGGTGAGTGTACAGCTGCGTCCTCCCATAGAGAAGAACAGGCTGCTCTTAGCAGTGTGAATGAGGCCTAATAGCGCAATCTGTCAGACGCTGTATCCAGCGGCTTGAAAGAATACGCAAAATGTCTTGTTAGATGGGGGGGGGGTGCCGAGTTTCGTTTTGCCTAGGGAAGCACGAAACCTAAATACACCACTGGGTGTGGGGTTGTATTGAAGTCAATCGCACCACAGCCATGCCCCTCACCCAGAGTGCGATCGCCCACACCCGGAACGCAGGTGCATTCCAGTCCAGTGTGATCTCAAAAATAGTGCTTGCAGCATTTTTGCGTCCAGGCGATAGCACTGTGGGCGAGGGGCCTGGTTGCAATGCCATTGACTTCAATGCACCGCCGCGCCCCCTCCCGCCCCTGAATGCAGGTGTTTTTTCGTTGGTAGATCTCATTGAGCTCGTCATTTGAAAAGTAGATCTCCAGACGAAAAATTGCGGGCGCCCCTGAGTTATAGTATAGTATCAATGAGTGAGGTTAGGTGAGAGCCATGCAGCTGAGACAGTGTAGTGCACCACAGGGAGTAGATCCAGGAAGTGTAACACTGGTTTGAAGAGTCTCCTTAACCCCTCAGAGATCTTAATCAGCAGCAGACAGAAGGAGTTTTTCCCCTGAAGCTTCTCACTACACAGTATGGGGATTAGGAGAAGCGTGTGACCCGCAAGACAGGAGGAGAGGAGAACCAGTGCTTGGGCAGCGTTGCCTGGCATCAGCTTCATTGATTTGATGCCAAGCAATTGAATTTCCTGGCTTAAGCCAGCTTGCGAGGTGGAGCTGTGTGATGTCACTGGAGGGTAGGCGGAGCTACCCTCACATCCCGGGAGGCCAACAAGCTGCTCGAGGCAGGTGCATTACAGCAAGTAGTCACACTCTCTAAACTGTCCATGCGCCTGCCTAGAGTTGCCAGATTTTTGCTGACATGGTGGATTTTTAGCCCAGCACTGAAATTGATAAAATCCTTCCTGTCCTGCCGAGCGGTGAGGAGAGAGAGAGGCTGGCTGGAGGATCCTTAGGAGGGATGCCAGCCTGCTTGGCTAGAGAGAGGTCCTAGAGATATTAACGGTTCAGTGGACTTGGTCATCAAGGGAATATCACCTCCCCATCAACACATTCTGGAACTCAGAGCCATTCAGCTAACCCTTCAACACTGGACCTCCTTGCTATAGGGTCATTCAATGAGAGGCCATTCAAACTGTGCCACGGCAGTGGCCTACATCAACCATCAGAGAGGCACCAGATGTCTTGCATCTCAAAGAGAAGCTGATATGTTTTTGACTTGGGCAGAACGGCATGTTCTGATCTTGACCACCATGCACATTACTGGCATGGAAAATGTACAGACTTCCTTAGTCATCAGTATCTGGATTCACATTCTATGCCGCAGGTTAGGGACACCAGATGTAGACCTCCAGCCATCCAGGTTCAACAACAAGCGGAACAAGTTAGTCTCCAGGATTCAGGACTCTCGAGCTTTTGCAGTGAATGCTCTGGTGACAACGTGGGATCAGTTCAACCTGATCTACGCCTTTCCCCCATTTGAAGATTTTCCCTTGACTGCTGTACAGAATTAAGGCAGAGGAGTTTCCGGGGATCCTCAATGCTCTGAACTGGTCTAAGGGAGCATGGTACTTGAACATACTCGGACTCCTTGTGGACTTTCTGTGGGTTCTTCAAGACTGAGCAGACCTCCTATCTCAAGGACTGGTCCACCCTGCTGCTTTTTGGTCGCTGGCTTTGATGACCTGACTTTTAAAGCCCAGGTTCTGAGGGACCGAGGCCTGTCTGATTCAATCTTTCCTAAGCTTTTGAAGGCTAGAAAGTTATCCTCTTGCAAAGTCTACCATCATACCTGGAAAGCCTACTTTGCTTGATGCGAGGATGGGAAGCTCCATCTTAGGGAATACTCTATGGGAGACATCCTGTTTTTTCTTAAGTCTAATCTGGATTAGTGCCTGACATTGAGAACTATCAGGGGGCAAATTTCAGCATTTGTCTATCATTTTTCAGAGGCTGCTTGCCTTCTTGGTAAGGCTTTTTTGCAGGGTGTAACTCATATAGCTCCCCTAGGTTTTTATGTGACACTGTGGAATCTTAGCCTGGTGCTTTTGGCTCTCCAGAGGCCACCCTTTGAACCAGTTAGAGATATTCCCTTAGCTGATCTCATTCACAATGTTGCCTTCCTTGTTGCCATCTCCTCAGCGAGGTGGGCTTCTGAACTGATGGGTTTGTTATTTAAAGGGACCCCTCCTTATGCTATACAAGGTTGTCCAGAGAGCTAAAGCCTTCTTTCTGCGCAAGGTCTTTCACCTTAATTAAGACATTGTCCTTTCTTCCCTCTGTCCTGCTCATGAACATCATAAGGAAGTCTCCCTCCACTATCTGGATGTAGATTGTGTTGTCCAAGGTTACTTCTCAGCTGCTGCTTCCTCTTTGAAGTCAGATTATTTCATCAGATCTGTCAACGTGGGGCACCCAGGATGTAGATCTGGGGGCATCCCATCAAAATCACAGGATTTCAAGCTGATGCTCTGGTTGCACCACAAATGCAGTACTCCCTGTAAATGTTTTACCATCACTAAAATGTCCTCCTCCCCCCTGCAGAGGATTCAGCTAGAGGTTGCCACCACCATTTTGATAACTGCATGCTGACCAAGAAGAGCTTGTTACCTGGGTCCCCTTTGGTTGCAGATGTTTTGTTGTTTCTTCTAGCTTTGCCAGACTTCCTGCCTCATCAATCATCTTGCTTCTCAGTTGCTGGCTATAACAGCATGTCTGTTAAAGCTCAGGTTTTGGGATAGCATGGCTTCTTTAAGGCAGTTATTGCCACTTGGCTCAGGGCCCATAAGATGCCTTCTTGCTGAGTGTGAGGTTCTCAAGCTTAAACCCAGGTCCATTTTGGTCTCTGAGATCCTCAGCTTTTTTGCAGTTGGGCATAGATCAGTACCTGACAGGGTACTGATAGATTATACATAGATTTGATAGGATAGATTTGTCAATCTGGTAAATTTATTTCAATAAAATCAAGAAAATGCCATATTCAATAGATAGTAAAAACTAGGGATGCACCGATACCACTTTTTTAAGGCCGAGTACGAGTACCGATACTTTTTTTCAAGTACTCGCCGATACCAATTACCAATACTTTTTCTTAAAGGGACAGGTCACATTTTTTCTAAAGCAATACAAAATCATGATTTTAGGTCAGTTTCTTAATATTATGAAGAACATGAACACTCTGTAGTGTGGCACAGCTATATCCAATTCTGCATACCTGGCTTTATATTATAAGAACTTTATAATATAAAGCCAGGTATGCAGAATTGGATACAGCTGTGCCACACTATACAATAATACACTGTTCTGTTGTCTGGACATGTGCTCATCTATTTTCCCCAATATGGGCATACAAGCCTTAGTTAGCAATGGCATGATAAATATTAATTTCATTATTCAATGTCTTTTTTTTAAATCGGCCAATCAGCGGGAGAAGAGGTCAGAATGGATCAGATGACTGAGGACTTGGAGAAGTTCGCGGCCATCTTGCTTCATTGAAGACGCGATGGAGGTCCTGTGTGCGGCGGATTCGGGTCCCTGAAGATGGCGGACGCGGCACAGGTACTCGTTTTTTGTATCGGAGTATTTGCACGAGTACTCATGCAAATACTCGGTATCGCCGCCGATACCGATGCTTGTATCGGTATCGGTGCATCCCTAGTAAAAACACAGTTAAAACATGAGTGCAAAGAAAAAATAACAATCAGTAAGGTACCTGATATATGCAGCCAGATGATGTTGGTATGTGAGCCGTGGGATAAGAATAAGCCAGCAAACAGATCAGAGGGACAAGATACTACGGCCTCACTACGGGTAAGCTATCAGCGTCAACGATTTCTATGGAAAACCTGAGGCATCGTGTGTGAGGATCAAGTCCCCGCCCAAGGATCATGATGCACATGTGCAGTAAGGAGCTAAGCCAAAGCAGCTGTAATGATTGTTGCGAGTTTGGCTGAGGATCTCAGCTGCGGAGAGGCTTTGTGGATGGCTCAGGTGGGGGGTTCACACTTACACTCTTTAGTGTGGCTGAGTGAGGTTGGAACCCTTAACACATCATATGCCACCACAGGCTGTAATTGCAGAGATAACAACAAGTGAACCTTCCCTCTTTGCAATATTGTGGTTAGTTGGGGCCTGTGGGGATTTGTAGTTCAAAATAAAGTAGTTCACTCCATGAATGCAAAAAACTATAGCAACTACAGCAACTTGGCAGAGGAAAGAAAAGTAGTCCCGTATTTGTTTTGGTATACAGTAGTTCACTCCACTAATGCATAACACTATTGCAGGCTTATCAAACAGTAATTAGGAGTACTCCTGAGCAAGCCCCCTTTGTAGAGCAGTATCTCTTTAAACCCCACTGAGTTGCAGGCAATGTAAACAATTACAGCGTCCAGGATGGTACTTGCGGTTTGTTGGGGTATTCAGAGCCCTCCAGGAGTACAGGGCGAAGGATCACTGCTGTGCTGGAAGAAGTCCGGATTAATGCTGCTGGAGTGAAAGGTTCATGTGCTTCAGCAGAGGTATGAGCCCTAAGAAATTGCTCAACGTTCTACCTCGCTAGAACATTGAGCAAGTGTGCCTTCCAGGCTTTTATGAGTAGGCAGGTGTGTTGGGGCGGAGCAGTCAGCAGAGGCCCTCCCGAACGTCTCCTAGCAACGGGATGCTTCCGAAGGGCCAGGCTGCTACGCCCTCACTCCTATGTGTGACGAGTCCGAGGGAGACGTCTGGAGGGAGGAGCCGAATACGCAAGCCTGCCGGCCCGTCTCCTAGCAACGAGACGGCGCCGCGGTTCGTGACAGCAGCGCAGATCACGGGACCAGCAGGGTGCAAGCAAGGAGGGAGGAGCCAGTACAAGCTAATTTCACACCGAGCGGTCCACATACCAAGATTGTAAGGAATCAGGTCAAAGGGGGAAAAACCAAGACCATAAAATAAGTAAAGAAACATAAGAAGGAAAAGAATCGGAAAATAGCAACAAAAGAATCGGGCCGAAACGCGCTGGAACTGGTGTGAACTAGCCCTGAAAGTCATAACATACATAGAAGGGAATTTATCAAAAGTGGAGCAGACAGAATCTGGAGCAGTTACCTATGGCAACCAATCATCATCCACCTTTTATTTTTAAACCTTAACTGAAAAAACTGAAGAGAGAAGCTGATTGCTTGTCATAGGCAACTGCTCCAGATACTTTTGCTTCAGTTTTGATAAATTCCCCTCATA